ACCGGTCGATAAATCTCAACGGGTATCCATTCTGTGTCAGTGTTGTCGTCAGTAAGTTGGTTTCTTCCTCCCTGGTGTCATCGGTGCAGATGCGGTTTATCCCGTTGAATAAGCATCTGACTGCACGTTTATATTGGACTGGGCAATAGCTATGGAAATTAAGATATTGCCCTGTCCATGTAGGTTTCTTATAGATCGACCTCCTGATCGAGCCATCCTCCTATCGACTGAGCAATACGTCCAGGAACGGTAGCTGGTTGTTCGCCTAACTTGTGAACAAGAGACGAGTGCTTAAATTTATTGAAGCTCTTGCCATCCGTAAATTTAAACCCCCTTTATGTATACAAAGACAATTCGTACTCACGTTGAACCTACCTTGGTAGTATTGATTTTAACTTTCATACCAAGAGTAAGGTTTTCCTTTTTCTTCTATCCCTTCCTATTCCTATGTTTCCTATTAACTTCATTGACCTTTTTTCGTAAATTTTCACATAAATAGTTCGACAAGTCCATGTGTGATCAGATTGTTCGAAATGTGTAGCGCTAATGCATCATATGTTTCAGATAATCTTTGTCTTCTCATTACGCTGCTTAAATTTATCAAAGGGACCAGTTGCTTTAAGTTAATAAAATATCTAAAAATTCACTACATTAGCAGAAATGTATGCACTTTTTCTAACCTCCAGGATTATGAAAGTTTGATCAACCTTCTTCTACTTATCCTTTCTCTTTTTATGCGCCTTTCTTTACTTCAGTATGCTTCTTTTCTTATTCATTTCCTTTTCATGCACTGCTGTAAAGTATATCATCTTGAACTGATATACTTCTATATATAGCTGAATCTTGATTTTTCTGTCCAAATGGCCTTCATAATACAACACACTTGAATTATGCGGCTGTTAATACAATTTTGTTTACATCATCACTCGGTGCGTACTGCACCACACTACAAATGGGCACTTAAAAGAACGAACTCTGAACCTGATTGCAATAAGGGATGTGTAAAACCTGGACTCTGATTCAGTTCACTTGTAGATCTACTAACCTTAATAAGTGGTAAGTGAAGATTCTATTTACGAAGGAAAGATAAAGCCTTAAACTGAAGTATTGAACGGTTCAAGGACTAGCAGCTTGGGTGAAGGGTTACAAATAACTTTTATTTCATATAAAAAAATGAGTGTTTGTTATTTTATTCTTGTTCTCACGGAAACCTTCAGTTTTGAGTTTCGGCTTCCTACTGAATGTTTCGCACCATCTTAAGTCACATAGGGTGCACCATGATTCTGAGTCTCTTGGCTTCGTGATCCCATTACAGAATGATAGGTAGAATCCGGTCAGCACTCAGAACTAGACAACATGAAATTGGTTACTCTCGAGCGACCAACCAGTATATGTTTAACTTTCACTTAAGGAAACTGACGTGCTCATTTTTCTATTTTTGATTCTCATTTCAAACAATCTTAAGTTGATAATATAGGAGTGTTAATTTTCTTATCATTACGAAGCTGAACATTGAGAAGTTAGTGGATACATGAAAAGAGTTAGGAATACTTGAAAACGTTATAGAAATGGATGTTTCGCTTAACACGTAGAAATAAATGAAACCGTTAATGTTGAGGAAGATTGTGAATGGTAAAATTGTCATTTTGCCAGTTTTGTCGTAAATAACAGAGAGAATACGCACAGTAAAATAAAAATATTATTTCCTTGGCCTGTACTGTGTATTGACATTCAAATACTTAGCATCGCATAATGCAGTTAAGTTGATCACTGCTAGACTGAGTAATTTCGGTTACTCGTTATATTTCTCTTTTGCCTCCTACCAAATATATTCTTTCATGATTTTTTATTCTTCATGAAGAGTTAGAAGAATCTGGCAGATTTATCTTAATGATTTCAGTCCATACAACCCTTAAGATGGAAGTATTTGACAAAATAAAAGAGAGTATAAGAAATGTGATAACTGAAGAAACGTCATATTTCTATGCTAATCTCATTATACTGATTGGCTAGATTTCCATTTAAAAAAAACCTGTAAGAAGTTAAAACTTGTCACATAATAACAAGCAGTCTCATCAATTTAACCCATTTCAATGTAAAATTAATATTTAGATATTGATGTAAACATTTCTCAATAATTACTTTCTTTTATTTGAGCATTTCCTTTCCCAGCATAGTTGCTCAACTAAACGCAATCTTGGAAAACTAAGAAATTATCCACACTGTACAAGAACTAATTTAGTATCATAACAGAATACTCTGGGGTTTAGAATTTACAAGATTATTGTATATGTAGTAGTTTGCTTATTCCTGTGACTTATTCACTCGCCTAAACATGTCAAAATAAGCAGATCATTGTTTGCCAGTGAGGTTTTCAAGAGGAGAAATCCTATTGTAAAGGAACTTGTTCCGCTAGGCTGCAAAGTATTCGAAGCTAATGATAAATAATTAGGATAAGATTCCAATGGGATCCAAAAGTTAGTTACCAACGTAACCCCTCAGCGGTTATGTACATTACTTTAATGTAAGTCTGTTTTTATAACTTTAATCTTACCTGCACACAATCTATGAGATACTACGAATCAATCGACTGATATCTGAAATAACATTGCTCAAGGCAATAGCAATAGTGCAAATGTATTGACCTTCTATCGTTATCTCTCTGTGTGAGTTATTTCCTTCCATTTGTGCTCAACCTCATTTCTCCCTATTATTATTCCGTTCCTTTTGTCTGTATTTTTCCTTAGGTATTCTGAAGTGTAATAACTTGAACCAATGGATTTTTGTGCAAGGTTCCACGTTATTACATCCGTTTGCCTATTTACTTGCATCAGTAATTCTTCAACATGGTACCAAAAGTTTGAGAAATATTTCTTTCAGTATTCTCTACCTTTTTATATTCGATAACCCCTTCTTTCCCTTCACTAATCTTCTCCCTATTCATAAGCAATACATAAACAATAATAAGGCCTTTTCACGACTATCACTTTGCATATTACTTGCTCCAGCATATCAACAACCATTTACTGTATTGTTTTCTTCCCTTTTTCAGAATATTTAGTTGTGAATCAAAGTTGAGTGTCAAGACAATTAGAATTCTAACGTATTTGTTAAGTCTTACCACTGACAGTGAATTTTGTCTTAATAATAAACTGTATGCGGTAAGGAGTTGATTCATACTACTTACTAATAGTAAGTAAAAAGATTATGCTCTAATTTTATCTAATTCAGTAAATGAATTCAGTTTCCAATCTTTAATGTTGATTTGCCATACTCTATTCATCCTATGATGATCAATGTGTAAATTGTCACCATAATTATCCAAACATGTGAGGCTGCATGTTCAGAGCTTTCAATACTTCTCGTTTGAGCATTTCGAAAACAGTTACATACTTAGTAATACACAAATACCCCTCCCCCCCCCTTCCACACACACACAGACACCAGATTTAACGAGATTCGTGAGTGTTATTCATCATAAAGGGATAAAAGACAGGAACATTATTACGAAGAAAATTCGTTCCTTATTTCATTTACTCTTATTTCTCATTCATATGACTGACCACACGTTTTGAACTAGAGTTAGGTGAAATTCTCTTAGGTTTCTTGAATGTATCACAAAGACAGCAATGCCACATAAATGATAGAGAACATGTTCCTTGCACCATGTGACAGGGACACCATGTTGATTATTTTTAATGGAAGCAGCATTACAAAAGTGTACACTAGTGGAATTTCATTACCTAAACGTATTTATATACTCATTTCTAATCTTAATCTGTTTGTAATATTTCGAAGTGAAAATTATATTCATCAACATTTTTTATCTTATCTATTTTTAAAGTGATTTGATACGACTAAATTAAAGTGAGATCCGAAAAGGTCATAAATAAGTCTATGCTAAGATAGTTTCAATGGTAAACACTGTGGAGAAATTAATATGAGGAAAGTAAGCAAAATGAACTAGAAAAGATTGATTCAATAAATATTAATTGAGTCTTCGTTGAGTATATGTGTTGGCTTCAAGTCAAAATCAACTTTAAACCAGCTCAAGCAAGACATTTAGTCAAGGGATCATGTGATTGGGTGTATGCTAGTCAGAAAATCTCGAATTTTTATATGTGCCTTTCATCAATAACACACACATTCATAATCTCAAACTGTCTTCATTTGTATCTAACCTGGAAATGTCTTGGAAACAATATCTTTTCCAGGCAACTTTATAGTACATACTGTTTGAAGTTGTAGCAGTAAATAATTGCCTGAAATCATAAGCCTAGGTTTCGACAGGTTAAACATTGATGGGCTTGCTAAACAGAAGGCATATAGTCAAACAGTCACGCCAATAGACGTGTTATCGCGCTACGTTGTGTTGCTCGCTCGTGATTCACTAGCTAGCTAGTCGGAACGTATCGGTATTTTGGCATGGTCTATCAAACATACTAGTCCACTTTGCTAATTTATCGTATTCTTTCTCGACCTCACATTTGTAAGTATATTACAGGTATGAATAACTAATGGTTGGTCTTTGCATCTGTCAAGTTCGCGTAAGATCAATTCCTAAAGAGTTACAACCGTATACTGAGTTATGTGTGTGATCTCAAGCTACTAGTGACATCACCAGATTACACATGTTGTTTGACTAAAAAGGTTTTCTTAAAATATTGTTGATACTGGGTGATGGTCAAAGATGAAATGAAAATTTGGGTTGTGAAAGGTTTCAAATCAGAGGCCTCTGGGTCACCGGCCCGGTGCTCTATCAGCCGAGATACTAGCCGACCAAGCTACTGTTGTCTCAGATAGTAACACTGGTAAAATATTATGCCTGTTAATATACCTACATTACACAGGTAACAAAAGACTAAACTTCATCTAATCTATAGAACATTTGAGTATATAAGACTAATATTTGAAAGCTAATAGAATAACGAAATATGTGTAGCACTGGGAAAATAAATAAGCACTTCCACTGAATACCATATACCAACTAACCTACTCACCAATTTGTTCCAATAAACCATTTGAATGGGGTGCAAACATTTCAGCAACTGACTGATAGAAATGCATATTTGTAATTAAACAAAACAGATGTCTTGCGGACAATCTTCGATTCATCTTGAAATCACGTCTTCGAGCTTTGGAACGTAAACAGATGGTCACTTCATGATGCTGTGACGAAGGAGGTTCAGAAAAAAATAACACAGTGTATATGAAGTCACGTTTCAATCGGTTTAACATTCTAAAGAGATGATTAGGACTTTTAGCCAATAAATTAATGAAATTAGTGGTCTTGAGTTCTCGAAACGTACTAGTTTATAGATAACGTTTATTCATTTTATCGCTAAAGAAAACCATGTAACTCAGAGGATATAACATATCTAAAAGTAGAATACACTGCTTACATATTTTTATATTGGCCTACGGAAGGATGTGATCCCTTAAATTCCGTTGTGTAATACTTATACTGATTACGTATCTAGAGATATCCTGAAGAAAACGATTCAACCAGTAACTAACATTTCAAAGAGTTTACTTGTCAACTGAGAACTACAAACCCTTATTATTCATATGAATCCTGGTCAAGATTCGACTGGATAGTTTCACAGATATTGGGTACAGAGTGAAAATTTGTCATTAGATATAAGTTATATTTGAATAAACCTCAGGATGTTTGAAACACGCATTTCAACTTTTGTCACGGAAGTCTGGTCAGGATTTCTTCGGGGAAGGAGTGTGTGTTTACTGGTTCGAATCTCTAAAATGACTCAAAGTGAATCTTAGAGATTACAGAGTATATGGCTCAGAATCTATCAACTGGTTTATAATTATACTTCGATAATATCATTATTCTGTATCTTTTACCACGTAATTCCCCCGACTATTTCCCTCATTTGTCTGCCATTACTGAAATAACTGCTTTCATTCATTCATATTTCATCAGTCTGCTTTTTTCTCATCATGACAATGTGATTTAGTGAGACATGAAAAGATAAACAACAACATCAGGTCTTTCAATTTTTTTATCAGAAGTTGTATAACTTTTCGCGTTCACTGATTTGCTGTATATGATTGTCCATGTAAGGTTTATCAACTAAAGTGACAGTCAGATTAGTTTTTTCTTGAAATGATTCAGTGAAAGGAAAGGTATTTGATGCATTTAAGTAGTTGAAAAAAAAAACTAAAATGATAATGATATTTTGAGTGCACATTGATTGTGGGACATCTCTTTATTGACCGTTTCTTTGTGTTAACCTTTGTGATGATAAAGTGCGTATCTCTCTTTCATATATATATGCAAACGTGTATGTAGAGCCCAAAATATGTACACAAAGATAACATATTTCGAGATAGTGTATTTATTAACTCCAATCAATATTGCACATAATACGGTCATAATGTTCTGCATTTGTTTGTGCACACTATGTTTCATAGGTGTTGTGTATATATTAGTTATCTATGATTCATATTTGTCTTTCTTCAGACTCATAACTGATATTTAAGTTGAATAACCTCAATGTACGTGTTCATGTAGCCTAGCAACGTGTAATCACCAAGTGATTGTGAGTATAGTGAATAGGTAAGCGATATATTTCAAATCAAGCTAAAATCTCTATTTAGACTAAATTTCGGACACATTTAATTTTGATACATTACAACACCATAATATGTACCTTAAAGTTTTACAGCATTTCTTCGTAGTATGATACTCCCCCCGCAGCACATACCCAAGACCCTGCCAAGGGTCGATTTCAAGATGCCTTTAACCATTCGGTTACTGGGTGGGAGTTGAATAGTCCACAATTTCCCACTTCTCTCAGTCCTTACCTTACAAATAAAATCCATATAAACCTCAAACTACATTAAACGTTATTGACTAGAACATAAATTGACTGTAAAATTCTTGGTTGAGAAATGTTTACTTTATGACGGAAAAGCGTATGGCTATGTATTTTTATCCATAAGTGTGAATATAAGCAGACAGAATTATATGATGAATAAATAAATAAATCAGCCTTGTTTTAAAGCATAAAAAGGAAGAGATTATTACTGTTATTTTATTTTAACAACAGAAATAAAACAATCTACACTTACATTATAATACATTCGTTCAATCTCATTCCATTTAATCCGATTTGTAGGAATAATCCAGTCATCAGGGAACTGCTAAATTCATAGTCAATTACAATGTGATTAATTTAAGACAACGCAAGGAAGTGATATGTACCAATGATTGACTCCCCCAAAAAAACACCTTTTCGATCATTATCAAGACAGTCAGTTAAGAGAAATGTTTCTTTCGAAGACATTTATCTACTTCATTCTTATAATACATCAAATAAACTGAAAACTATTTTACCACTCAGCTCTGTACTTTGATTCATATTCAATAACAATGATTGAAGCGATTGGTACTTAATAAGAAACATTACAATGTCGAGATTTTCGTTCTCTAGGTTATGGGATCACCAAGGAGACTGGGTGGAGAAATCAATTTCTGGAACAATGCTGAATAGGAATGTAATTACAGTGTATTGAACATCATTATCGAAGTACGCATACATATCACCTTAGTATCAATAAAAGTTCATCAATCCCTTGTGGTTAGTTGGTTACTCTACAAAAGCTTTAAATCAGACGAAGAATCTTGCACAACCAGTTTTCAAAACAGGTCATTATTTCAATTTTAGCCTGTCATACGACTCTTGACAATACATATAATCGCATAACGAACATAAAATACTTCTTAAAGGCACGCTTAACTTAAAACCTACAGGTTTGTTTATTTGACTAATGGTGATATTCATCATGGACTGACATCGGTCAAAGAACCATTGAAAACCTGAGAGCAGTGGACAGTAGTTTCTTCCTAGCATGGGACTCTTCAATAGTACACACCCACGACTATGCCTCACCAGAGATTGAACTTAGGACCTTTAGATTTCACAGCGAATGCTCTAACCGTTCAACCACTGGGTTGGAGTTCAGTGATATACGACATACTGACTTAAAATGCAATCACTTTACAAAATAATGGTTACCTGAAAGAAGGTTAAAGGGAAAATTGTTTAATTACCTGAATATGTTTTGCTGTAGTAAATTACAAAGTTTTACGCTGTCCGTATGTCTAACTTATGTGATGACACTCATGCTGTTATGTCCTTAATCAATTAATCTATGGAATATATTATACATCCACAAATATACACAAGGAATTAGCTGAAAAGGTAAATGGTAAGTAGAGGACATCTTAAAGAAATGATTGTCGAACTGCTTTTTATATGAGGGACATGGCTGCAAAATAGTTTATTAGAAAGAAAAATCAAATAGTGAGTAAACTAGTCTAGCATTAATTTTCGTTTCTCACAAGGCATCACCTTATTTACTTGAATAATCGATAGTGAAGTATTTGGCTTTGGAATAACATTAAAACTCATAAAGAAATAGAACGTAAAATATTCAAATCTTTTAGCTTACCTAAAAAGTTAGATTTACAAACTAGAAGGTTGACTATTAGCAAAATTAACTGTGAAAAGTAAGACAATAGTGTTTCAGTCAAATTAATTAACAACATCCAACCGATGAATCCCAAATAGAACGAAACGTGTATTCTGGGTTCTACTGCTGACCACTATCCATCATTAATATATAATTCAAACATAGGCAATATTGACGAGTCTGTGCAGAGGCCCATACGCCAGTAGAAATCGATCGCTTCGGTCGACTCAACGATGTGATAAAACAAGTAACAACAATAACAACAATGTTATTTAAAGAAATATTGAGCTATCAATATTACTTTCACTACCTGATATAACGTGAATCCCTTCGGACTAACACCGATCCATACAGAGAAACGACATTTTTGTGCATATTTCTTAAGCGGATACATGTGTAAATTGAAATCTGAGTTCAGTTTAGTTGCCAGACGAATAAAATGAAATTCAGCCAAATAGGCTACTGTGTTACGAAGTGCTGAATGACGTATAAAGGTGTGATAGACTAGTTCGTCACTGTCCCATAATTCAATAAACTAAATTGTAAACAAATTAACACGTACAAAGAAAATGAAAAGTAGATTAAGAAATAAATTAGGTAGGTAGATGGCTACATATATTACAATGTATTCATTCACCTTGTAACAATACACAATCAATATTATTTCAAGGTCATATTTCCCACGAACCGACATCGGTTTGGGTTAACATTGAAAGTCTGGGAGCATTAGACAGCTGTTTCGTCTCAGTATGGGACTCCTCAGTAGTATATACCCAGTGCTCAGAGGTATTCATTGGTTCCCCCCAACTGATGTCAGTTCGTGATGAATACAACCTTAAAAATGAAATCCCTGTAAGTCTCAAAATAAATAAATATCGCATTGTAGAGTATAATATGAAGGTTGACAGATGAGTCGAGAACACTATCAAATCACTTGATATTGAAGGATGTTGTGTTGCGATCTCACTAGCCTTCATTAATTCTAGAGATAAACAACATAATCACGCGCAACTGACCAGTCCACATGATCCATTGACCGATCGCTATGTATCGACTTGATAAGTTTGGTAAACAAGGCTATTATTATTGTCATTATTATTATTTGTCCCTTGGGTTCCTAGTGGAACATAGGGCTTCAGTAGCACGTCTCCATTTCACTCTCTTCTCCCCAGTCTTTCCAACCTGACTCCACCACTGCCCACAAGCTTTCATTTCTTCCTCACACGATCTCCTCCTTATCACCATTGGACGCCCAACTCGTCGTTTCCCATGCGAGTCCCACTAGAGGGCCTAGACTGGCGCGTGATGTCCCCAAGCCCGTCTTCTCAGTGTATGCTCAATCCATCTCCACTTTCTTGTGCTGCACACTTATTGGGCGATGAGTTCTTGGTTAGTTCGTTCCTAGAGTTCCTTGTTGCTTATTTTGATTATTCTGGTAATCTGATCTTCAGTATTGAGCGAGCGTAGGCGGTAGCTGTTGATGTAGCTTGTTGGTGTTGAAAATCCGGATACTGCTCACGCTTTATGCTGAGTGCAGTGCGGTAGATCTCCATACTGATTTCAGATTAAAGAAAGAAGGCCTGTCTTGCTGTCTTTTCGATCCTGGCTTTGACATCCTCATCTGTGCCACCATCGCCGCCTGTAGTTGAAACGATGCTGCCTTGGCAGGTAGGTGTAAGAGACAACTTCCTTCACGTTTCTCCCATCGATGCGTGGCGTAGCGTTGCAATTTGATTCGCACATGATTTATTCTTCCTGAATCCAGCCAGCCAACTTGTTCTGGTCGTAATTTTGAATGCAGAGCACTGTTTAGTCTCTTCAGGATGATGCGATTTAATATTTCGCTTGAGGTGGACAGAAGCATGATTCTGCGCCAGTTCCTGAAAAGACTTAGGTCTCTCTTCTTTGGGAGTTTGACAAGGTAGCCCTTCTTCCAATCAATGGCAGGTACCTTTCTTTCCTTCTTTCCAAAACTTCTGCAATAGTGATCTGTGTATGAGGTTATGAGAATTAAATATTAACCAGCAAAGAGTAAATTAAAGGTTTGCACTAATTTAATGTTAGCTTCAAGTTAGATGAGAAATATATTTTCCACTTTATACTGTTGATTCGGCAATTTTTTTTTAACCACTGCCAGATACGCTGCATTTATGCATGAACAGCACATCGTATGCTAAATGTAGTGTTTATAATGTATCCTAAGATAGTAATATATAAAAAATAATCGCAAGATTTGAAACCGGGATGCCATCTCCGCTAAAACAGATCAACTGATAGCTGAAATCTATAAGTTCCTTCAAAATCCCGCATCTATTTACCCATTCGTTCCAGCTTGAAAATATTTGTGGTACAATCTCACAGAAAAGTTCTTTGATCAGTACAACATAGTTTTGAAGACATTAAGACAGTATAGATCAAATTTTGCATATGCAGTGTTAAATGAATATTTGTTTGTAAAAAATAAAAATTTAGTGATGTCATTCTAATTTTGTACAGTCACATGCCAGTACTGCATTCACTTAGCAAACAGAAAAGAAGTGAATTGTGAAATGCTTTCTAGTAATATTTAATTTTTATTGCAGATTAGGAGATGAGAAAGTGAATTACACATTGCACAAAACCATAATCAGAAAGCTTATGAAGATGGAAACAATGGTAAAGTTATTAAGCTGAATCATGTAATATTGTTAAAGAAACAGATCAATGTAATTTAAAAGAATGAGAATTTTAAGGTTAGAAAAAGATGTGACAGTTTGGTAACGAGGTGAATAACAAAATTTAAAGTGTAGGTTATGCCCAAAGCCTATGTCCGCTACAAATTAAGTAACTGGACCCACTTCTTTTGAAAGCTGAGTTCAGACTTTAAAGCATGAATTGCTATGTGATTTGAAGAAGTCTTACGTGTACACTTTTGAATAGGTTTGCATGAACTATATAGATCGCACTGAAGTTGCTTTTTGGATTCATCAAATAGTTGGAAACATTCGAATATTCAAAGATCGAGTTGATATATACCCCACACTTCCCATGAAACCAGGCTGGTATATGTTCGTAGGTACTTAACGAAAGCGAATGCTGAGTAAGGCCACCATACCTTACTCTAGAGGGGCAGACGTATTGGTAAAAACATAGACTTCGATAAGAGAGGTAGCTTACTATCCACGCATGATTAAAGCATTGGGTGGTCAAGGTTTGGTAGCATGAAAGGTCTTTCTCAGTCAATGTGTTAGACTATTTCATAATATTTCTGCCAATAAATTTCCATTTAAGTGCAACTTCATGAAGGAAGAGGTTTTAAGAGTAGAAGAAATGAAATGATTAACTGGTTTGCTTCTCGGAAGAGAGACTGGTGAATTACTTTTCAGTTTTGGATGATGAGGTGAACAAAAAAAGCTGAGAACAACACGTCAAACTGTTCTAACTAAATCAATTACGTCAGACATTTACGTAATAAACATCTGTCTAACTAGTCTAACTACCTCATTATGGCAGTAGTATTCGATGTGAGGTTTTTTAGATGTCACAGTATTCAATAACTTAGCGACATACTGTTTAACATCGGTCAAAATCAGGCTATATTTACTGATATCTAAACATCTTGGTTGCCTAAGGTATAACTAACAATCAGTCATGATAAAAATCGTCCAGTTCCTAACTTTGTGCTAGACAGTTATTACTTGAGTCACTCTTAGTTGAAATCTCTGCTGCCTTTCCTTATCGGTGAGTTACCTTTTCTTGGTTTTCTGATTCGTAACTCAATCTGGAAGCTGTTTATAAAAACAGTCGAAATTTAAGAGAAAGACATACGATTCACGAGATCTAGACGAAATAGCCTGTGGTAGTTGTCCAGTGTTCAAAAAGTAAGTGCTGATGGAGTCACTTTGCCTAATGGTGAGGCTTCTGGGAAAAAATATCAAAACTCGAGTAACACTAAACAGCCAAAAATCTCTTCTCTATTGAAAAATAAAATATTTCATGATATCATAGGAACATAGGTTGTACTAACACTTGGAAAGCTTAGTTGTGCAAGTGAATTCTTCTTTGTAAATCTAGCTTTCTATTTTCACTGTTATAATAACTTTGAGCCTTCTGACTTTCACAGGTATATATCTACTTCTTGAAATATTTATTACTGTTTTTGTGATCACCTGACCGTTGAGACAATAAAACCGATATGGGGCGACTTTGAAGACCACTATGGCAACTGCTGTAACAACCGATCAGGTCGGGGTATTCCGTCTAGAAAGTTAGTTTTTCCTAGAATATGGAAGTCTAATTGATTATCCCAGCAGTTGCTAGGTTAGTGTTTAAAGTAGCTCCCGATATGCAAAATTTACTATTTAGATTTTATCATTTTATGAGCTAAAAGAGAAAGGGAATAATTTCTAATTGCTGACTCCAACAAGAAAGCAAAATTTAACTAGTGATATTTTTTTTACAACATTAGAGGATTCAAACACATTTATCATCATTGGAACAGAAATCTTTTCAAAAGTGATGAGGAAGTGTTTGTCTGTATTTATTCAACAAAATCCGTGGCAATCGAGTTTTGTAAAAAAAAAAGATCTTTTCTACAGAGAACTACTTAAATAGTATAAACAAAAGTTTTCATCAATACTTTAAAGACTGACAAGCTAAGTAGCTAGAATAAAAATATATTTTTTATCAGACGATAGTTATATTCAACAGTAACCGATGGTGAAATAACACTACTTTACCTTTTGCATCACTGGTAAACCCTCACTCAAATGTTTTAGATACTGAAGTACATTTCATGTCGGAATATTTGTAGCTCTATACATCAAGATATATGCGCACAAGTGATCTACTCACTTACTGAGTATTATTCCTGAAACATGGTAAAATAAACGAACAGTATGTTTTTATGTTCTTTCTCAGATGCATTAACATTCTTAATTAGTTTCTTGATTTTTCAATGAGAACACTTGTTGTAACACTTGAAATATGATTATTTCATATCAGTTCTCAGTGGATATAACGTGGTCGATCTTTTATTAGGCTGCTGTGCGCAGACAGACATCATACATCTAATAAAAGATAAGTTTACTCACCACGCTTAGTTGTTCATCTTGAATTAAAAATCTTTCCTAACATGTCAATGACTTTGAGGAAAATTTCGGTTCACCCCTAAAATCCGAAAACGAATCGGTTAGCAAAATATTCATAAATGCTACTTCTAAACTATTCACCCTACTTGTATATTTATTTATCAGAGAAACTTGTTTACTCAAGGGAATAATGTCAAAGTGTATCAACTCACTTTACTAGGATAATAAAGTTCTGGTACAAAATAAGATGTGATCGTCTCACGATTATACATTTTTGGTGCATCACCTACTTCAGCTTGTAATGCAAAGGCGGCTAATTGTAAATAGATATTAGAATCACAGAATAAATTGTAGGCAATGTGATTTTTTCTCAATTGTTTGTAATAAACATGTTGTGTTACACGTTCATTTAAACAATGTATTGGAATATAAAATCGAATACGAAAATATACAGTTGGATATGATGAGGTTGAAGATGATTGATTAGGAAAAGTTGATTTATTTGTTGGTAAGAAGAAAATACCCTGTTGATAAAAAAAAAGACAAAAACAACAAAACATTACTGACCTACGAAATATTTATCGATTAATTTAAGAGAACATTAAAAAAATTTACCAACATACTTTACTGAGTATTGTTACTTGCATTATACCGTCATTGACAGGACGGAATTGATCGGTCTCTATTGCCATATGGGTTCCCGTGCGAATGCCTCGATATTACCTGTGTTTTAATTATAGTAATGATGGATTCCACTGGACTCCACTGATAGCCACTATCCATCATTACTATAATTAAAACACAGGTAATATCGAGGCATCCGCACAGGAACCATATGCCAATAAAGACCGATCAATTTCGTCCTGTCAACGATGGTATAATACAAGCAACAATACTAAAACAATACCCATCGCACAAGAAGTGGCTATCGTGGTTCGGTGGTCTAGTAGATAATACTCTGGCGTTTGAGGTGATCGGTCCCGAGTTCGAACCCCAGTGGGAACAACATCAGTCACTGGGAGGCAGATACATCCAGCTGACGAGTCCCAAATAGGACGATTCCACTACTAGCCACTATCCATCATCACTATACTTTAATGATCGTAAAACTCAGTACGGCTTAGTTTTATTCGGTCAGTTTCAGGGTGGTCTTTGTAATCGACTGACATAAGCTAGAGAACCATTGAGAACAATAGTAAACTGAACGTCTGTCTTCTCTGTGTTTTGGGAATCCTAAGTGGTTCTTACCTAATGTAGCACTAAGTCTAGAACTATTTAGTCTCAAGAAATGAGAAGTTTTATGAAATATCAATCACTGAATTCTAACAGAGTTATCAACCGTAGAAGTTGTACCTGATATGCTCGTATTCACAAAAGTTATCTGCATCTCTTGAAAGTTTTGCCGAACAACGGCCTTGCTACTACACAAAATCTTTTTCTCATCAATATCAAATTGTTCAAAAGTACTTATATTAAGAAAAACACAGAAATCTTTTTTTTTTACTGTGAAAAGATGAAATCCTACGAAATAAAGTCTGGCTTAGCTGTAAAAATAGACTACAATAAAATCCACCTAAGCGTATTTAACGTATGTGAAGTTACTTGGACTAGGCTTGTGGATATCATGCAGAGATTCAAGACAAAAAGAACTTGGTAGTTGCAGGCAAACGGGAACAAGGCTACCTATCTTGATGTGTTCCAAGTGTAAATAACTTTCAGGTGAAATATATGCCACTAAAGTATACAGAATAGCTTTGCTTGACTGGCATAAATTTCATACAGATATTACTCTATATGAACTAAAAAATTTTGTAACTGTTATTCTTCTTTTTAAAAACGATTAGTGAAATTGCAAGACAATTTAAATAAAAACTTAAATTACAAGCCTCTACATTAAGAATTATCGCTGAATCAGCTGATTTAAAAAACCATCTCCTGATCAGGTGCGATTTCCACATGAATTTCAGATTAATACACTTGACTGCTGTAGAAGTTACGGAAACAAATCTGTTCAAATTTCCCTATAACAGCTATATGGTTACACTTCGCTTAAATCAACTGCAGTTTGATAATAATAAGAATCGATCGACAAAGAAGACAGTCAACAATTCAACGAAGATGAATTTTATTTTTGGATGACTTCATTCACTGAAGCAATACTATTGTATTTATATCGCTAAAGAAGGAAATAACATACACAAATATCAACAAATAGATCATCCTACCGTACATGAAGAAGATATCAGAGATCACAAGATTACTGAAACCACTTGGAATTCGTGTGGCTTATAAACCAACAAATTCTCTTCAAGCCATATTATGCAGACCAAGCGACGCAACAGCCAAAGAAGACAAACCAAATACCATTTACAAAACCAACTGCAATAATTGCAATCAACAGTGTATTGGATACAGTGATCACGGTCTTCGCTTTCGTTTAAATGAACACCTATCAGCTATTTCACAACACGACATTTCATAGCTCATTTCAATGCACGTGGATAACTATGGATATGAATTTAATTTTGAAAGTGGAAAAATCTTGGACAGAGGAAAGATAAAGAATATCAGATAATTCCTAGAAGCTTAGCACTCGGGTCAGTCAGTAGATATGTAGACAGACCCAATCTATCAACCACTAAGGAAAATGATAAGTAGCAACAATGTGAGAGGTCAGACAGAGAAAAAGACAACGAGAAAATCTATGTAGTTAATGACACAACAATCAGAGCAAATAACTAGTCACAGACTAGTTCTTCAGAGCAAGTTACTGAATCACTCATAAAGAGATACTCACTTCATATTGAAGTTAGTGGCGATGATGTTGTCTGGAAAGACGATGAAAGCTTCACGATTAAACCACCCAGCTTAGAGAACACTACACAACCTAGATCATTGACTTGAGCTAAAAATATTCTGCATCACTTCAAAATAACAGTCTATTATTACGATAATAACACAATACTAGATGATAGAACAGAAACATGAGTGTAACTGAAGAAACGATAACCTAATAATCTATATCATGATAAGATTAACAAGAAAAACAGAAGTTAACGAGAATTGAATCATTTCTACAAGTAAAGTACCATAATTAAGTCTCTACCTAATTGGTGTAAAGAAGGTAAAGCAACGAGCAATAATCTTCACCTTCTTGGCAGCAATTAGAGTAGATAATTAACCATGATACTTCTCATCTAAAGACAATTCACACCTTAACATAAGTGTGGAATTTGGGCACTGTGGTAGAGTGTGATTTCATATTCGACTGGTCTGTTTGATGTAGTACTAATCGAATTGAGATCTTGTTAAATTCTGTACTATTTTTCATTACTTTGATATCTCATAGACCATAAGGTAATTGTCACCGCATTTCTGTTCTGTTCCAACCTAAACCTATTATTCAACAATAGAAACTGTTATTTTTTATTTTTCTTGTCTCCAGTGATATAAATACGGTTGTACTCTTCTAGTAGTGATATAATCGAAAAATAAAGCTTTTCTTCACTAAACTGTCTTGTTTTTTCTTTAAGAATAGATTTATTGCTAGATTATTCAGAACGGCTGAAATATTGAGAATAAATTTTAAATCATCCTCTGAGCCACTTTCAGTAACTATATCAGTAAGAAATCGATTGAACAATCCAGGAACCTCCTAGTTGAATCTAGCCTTAAAGTGAATGTCTTTCAAATCTATGTTACTGTCTCCACAGAAATGTTAGTCAGAAATATCTAGCAAACTACATGCACCACTTAGACGTTGTAAAAGGTGAGTAAAGTTGAGATATTTTGTTGCTGCTCTGGATATTTAACAATCGCTTTTAAGCAAAATCTCAACAAAATTTGATGACAATCTACTTCACAAATAACTGATAGGTTATCAATTTGAGTATCTGATATAGTCATATTCCAACAGGCTTGTATTGATACTGAGTGATGATTGAAGGTGAAATGAAAATTTGGATCTCGGTGGGATTCCAACCAGTGACCACCGGGTTTCCAGCCCGGGATGAGAAGTCCTGACTAAGCAGACAGTGTGAATACAATCAACCAGTCGTAACGCTTCACAAATTCACATGGTGATTGAAGTGAAATAAAAATTTGGTCAGAAGTTGGACCTCGTAGCTGAGTTGTTACAGCATCGGGTTGAAAACCCGGTGGTCCCTGGTTTGAATCCTGCTGCCACCACCACCCAGTATCAAGATTCAGATTATCTGAAACATACATTTCGAACAATCTGTTCACATGTGAACTTGTCGGATAACTTATATTTAAACTGAGAAAGGTTAATTAAGTCAGTGAAAGTATAATTAAGAAGGATAATAAGGGTAAAAAGAAAACAAGAGAGGGAAAGACATCAAATCACCGTCACCACTGGTATGAAGAGTTAAACTCAATAATATCAGGGCCATCATTATCATCATCAAGATCACCTTAGGACCAGGCATTACTGTTTAATGGTGTATGTACAAATTGTTTTTGAATACATAAAAGAGGATTTTCATTTATGGATAGTAAGTGCTGTCTTCACATCAATCTTATAACCAGTTTTTAATACATACTTAACGATCGATGAGAAAGGACATTTTTATCTGCATTTATCAAAACTACTAGAGTTCATTTGTTTCTGGACATGGGCATGCTCAACCATTCCATGTCATGACTGCTCCTGTCTGTTTATAAGTGTACATATAAACGTGTAAACTGACAGACACAGTGGGATATGATACACTCGTTCAAATGCTGTTTAAGTTTCTGTTGAAGCATAGACTTGTCTTCTTCACTAAGACAAACTTGGCTGCTTACTGTGTCGTGCTAACAACTGATTTGAGTCTTTTCTTCAAGATTAGGTTATTAGATTCACCCCTGTACGGCAATGGGTTATACACATATCTCTTAGGGACAAAATACTGATTAATCTGTCTCAATGTTGTAGATAGATTTTGGATGGGTTATCTTTTTCTGGCCAAATAATTTCATTACTGCGATAATTATTTGATCAAATTAATCAATGAAACTCCAGAGTTCCTTAAATGCACTCAGAATACTTAGCCAAATCAGATGTTGGTACGTGATTAAAGTTGTTTTCAGTTTCGCTTTTAATTAATCCATCATTAGCCAACCCGCTACACATATTTTCATTGAAATTTCACTATCCTTTTACAGTTACGTAATTTACAGGAGTGTAAATCGCTGGCGTAAAAAAAGTGAAACACTGATCGATTTAGGCATATTTATGTTTCGAAATTCATTTTCATTTAAATAAATTTAGCAGTCATTTAAAGGGCTTTGTAAGTAAAAAAAAAAGATGTGTAAAGCCAAGATTGTCGATATTTCTATGGGAATGCCGAAATTTTTATCTGTAGTACTTATTTCTAAGTGGTGTCTTGTCTATTCTACAATATCTAGAAATCACATATAAATTATATATCGTCTTTATATAGAATATTCAACTGCTTTTTATTCTGATTTGGATACCATGAAACATACAAGGGAAAAATAGCAACCAACTGAGTGCTTTTGA